GAGTTTAGACTATGGTACATATGAAGTTCAGAAAAGGTTGAGGATATGAAGGGCTAGTTAGGATCAAGGCTTGCGCTTTTAGCATTTAGGGTAGTAGAGTTTGCTTTCAGTCTCACAAACCTCGGGCTTATTCGTGTCCTAAGTATGATTGCAAATGTAGAAGATAACCAAATCGCAGTCAACACAATTGTAACCTCACCTACAGCAGCCCGTGAACCCCAAACCCAAAGAAGAGCTTGTATTTGAGGTGAGGTCTCCAGCGTGGAGTTAAGGGTTTTTGGGTTTGTTTAGGGTTTAAGGTAGCGGGATTTCAGCAAGATAGCCTTAAGACGAGTCTTGTTGAAAGCTACCCTACGCTTTCCACGCCTTCCACCTCAATCTTTCGAAAAACTTGCTGAGGATGCTAGGTGTCATTCGCAGGTCAAGCTGAAAGAAGCATGCATCTTACCCCAAAAGAATATGGAAATCTCCCCGAAAGAGCATCATAAAGTCTACTGCTCCCCTGAAAGGGGACTAGATGCATGGGTTCCATGGTATTGTGGTTGGAATAAGGGGTAGGCTGGGACCGCATAAGGACCCCTATGACTTACTGGTGCTCAAGGGAGCGGGGGTGGATTCCGAATAAAGGTAAGATTCAGGGTGTAGGGTATTTTCCGTCCACCTGCCGCCTTTCAGCATAAAGTAGACCTAAACCCCTAAACCCTAAACCCTACATATTTCGGGGAACCATCACTGGCGTGAGAGGTCCAGGATGAGCTGAGGGTTTTTTAAGAGTTCAGTACTCGTTCCTCTCCGTTATTTCGTCCCACAATCCTGCATGCTATACAGTGCATGGAGAAGCGGGCAGCACGAAGCAAAGCATCCTTGACAATCCTTACCTTATCACGGTATGTCCCCAAGATTTTCTTAGAAGTATCGAAGCCCCAGCATTTATTGAGAAAAGAGCTCCAGAGACATATCTACTACGTTATCCTTTATCGTGGTTGCGCGCCTTCCTTGGACAACCTCTCCTAACAAGCTTGCAAAGGTGGGTCGCCCGTCCTCGGCATGCACTTGATTAGGTGCCCTTTTTTTAAGGGCGTTCAGGGGCTAGGACGTTTAGGGTGGGGGGTGAGGTTGGGGTGTGGGGTTTAGAGTTTTGCGTTCAGGATCTATGACATTTTGGATTCCCGGATCGGGTTTGAGGTTGAGGGACCGGGCCTTGTTCCATCATTCTCGGGAGTGTTTGTGGTGCCCCTTTGCGGGAAAGCATAGGCGTACAATCTGACGGAGCGACAGCTCTAAAGCACCGCTGCTGCGTGAAGACATTGCTGTAGAACACTTCACCGCTGACACCTGATCAGGGCTCAGGGTTTAGGCTAATGGCTACTAAGATTCAAGTCAGTGTACCTTAGGTAGACAGTCTACCTTTCATTGTTATTTGTGACTTTCTCAGAATCAAAGCTTCTCAAATAGGGCTATTTCGTCGGGTAGTTGCAGGACTCTTACATGGCGAGAACTCGCGTCCCTAACTTTGAGGGGCCCTGAACCCGAACCCATCTAAGGTTTAGGGCTCATCAGGATTTCTCCCTGACTTATTGGTGCCTGAGGCAGACCCGTTGGTCGCACCGATATTCACACCCGGTAGCACTCTAGAGAGGTTTCACCGGGTCCTCACGACCGGGAAGATCTGAATGCATACTTCAAGCAAGATCTGGGTTGAAGGTCAGAGTTTGGGGTTGCAAGCAATGGTTTCCGATGTAAACAGGGTACAGGGTCTACCTTTAGAACTCCGAAGTAGGTAAAGTCATGGCCCAATACCCTTACCCCTAAAGCGGGCGGCCACTGTTCCACATACTTCTGGTGGTCCAGGTAGAGGCTACCACCCCCGCGAGACCCTAGCCACACTATTGGAGAAGACACCATCATCCCTAGGAGTGACTTAGTCCCAAAACTGCCAAAACAGACAACTCCTGGCCCCAAAAAGTCACCGTGAGAAGCTAGGGGGCAAGCTCCACAGACGCAATAAGAAACCAAGACCCTGCATGAAACCCTACCAATGCCATGAACCCTAAGGCCAAACCCTAAACCTTCCAAGCCCCAATTGCATAAGGAGAACTCCTGAAAAGCCCCTAGGTTCAAACAAGCTTTGAACAATGTAAGCAACGTACCAAAGCTAATCACCTCCTCCTAACAATGAATGTCCCGCACCCGTGGTTTAGGGTTTTAGGGGTAGGTATGGTAAATGCTCCCCAGTATAGATGGATTAGTGGTACACTGAGGGTATTTCTTGTAAGGGGGTGAGGTTTTATAACGAGGTCAGGAGATGTAAGTTATGTAGTTATGTAAGGGTTCCTATTCTTAGGTCCTTATTCTAAGGATGATTGTTTTGGGGGCATGTATGGGGGACCCCCTTTTTTTATTGGGAGGGGAGACCCATATACATAATGGCTTCTACAAGTCGATTCATTAGACCCACCGAAGAAGTCTCAGGGCTTTTGCCTAAACCCTAAACCCTAAACCCTAAACCCTTTTAAACCCTAAACCCTAAACCCTAAACCCGAAACCCTAAACCCTAAAACAGTCCGAGTGGGTTGGGAGCCACAAAGCCCTACAAAGCCCGAAGAAAGCTTCAGAACCTGCACTCCACACCCAAGGTAAGCCGCTAAATCTGCCAATCATTGCCTCACCAAGTGGGTACCACAAAGGATTACTGTAGGTATATCAAGGCCCTACGAACTCCATATTAAGGAGCTATTGCTGGAGGGGAGGATTGACTTAACCCAAGACACTCAGCCCTGTACAAGGTTTGGAGTTCAGGGTATACTGCTTAGCAGCCCTGAACCCTTCAACTTGGACTTCTAAGCCCAAACCCAAACCTTGACCCTATAAACCCTAACTCCTATAGACCCTCAGCTCAACAAGCCCTAAGCCCTAAACCCCAAGCCCTAAACCCTGAACCTTAAACCCTAAGCCCTGAACCCTAAACCGCCTAAACCAAAGAAGCCCTGTACCAGGAACTTCCACGACTGGATCCCATGGAGTCTCCGCCTCCTAGACTTCTGGAGTCGCCAGTCGCTGGGCTGGTTTTCTGGGTTGCTGTTTAGGGTTTAGGGTTTAGGGTTTAGGGTCAACTTGAATTAAGCTATAGTATCCCTCTATAAAGGAGAATCAAATGGAAAAGAACATGGAAAATTAAATGGAAACTGGGGGAATATGGGGGTTTAAGGAACTTAAATCAAGTTACCATCATGCGTGTACATAGAAAATAGTAGGTTTCCTCAGTATAGTAACTTGAATTGAGTTCCTGAACCGCAACCCAGTTTTTCTTGCTGCTGAGGGCTGACCTGTAACCCCAGTCTGGCTTGGGATTTAGACCAAATGTGCCCTGGGCTCCCTTCTTGGAGTCTGTAGGCCTATTTACTCTTGTGATTCTTTGTGATGCCATCTGATTTTCTTCATCGCTGCATCATGATTCATCTTATTGTGCCAAGCTTCTATTGCTTTCGGTCAGCCTGATTCTGACTTCTGCTACTACAATCATTCGGGTATCTCTCAACAGGTTGGTCTAGGCGTTCGGCTGCAGTCTTTTTGCTATGAGGACCCGCAAGGTGACGCTGCGAATCAACCCGCCGAAACGTGACCTCAGGCCCCGAATTTGTGTTACCCGACGCCCTAATCACTACAACCCTCGTCCCGAAACCGGTAATGCTATGTGTCTGCGGCTCAGCAAGAAGTCCCCAGCCCGACACCATTGAAAGGTACATTAGGCTCAAGTTCTATAACCAGCCGTCCCTTTCATAGCAGCAATGTGTATTTGAGAGCGCAACTACCTACACAGCAGAAGCCCAGCCTTAACCCCCAACCCTATATGTTGCACCATAAACCCTCCTAAATCCCCATCCCTAAACCCCAAATCCTAAGCCCTAACCGTAAACCCTAAGTCCCCAACCCCAAATCCCAAACCTAAACCCTTAAACCCAAATCCTGAACCCTTAAACCCAAATCCTAAACCCTAAACCCTTAAAACCAAATCCTCAACCCTAAACCCTTAAACCCTAACCCTAAACCCTATAAACCCTTAAACCCAAATCCTCAACCCTAAACCCTAAACTCCTAAACCCTAAACCCTATAAACCCTTAA